AAAAGAAACATGTCTCCCTCAGTCTTATTGCAATAAAACTAAATTTTATCAACCTTTATTATCTTTCCATTTTAAGTTTTTTTCCTTCTCATTTTGAAGTAGCATGTTAGTAGAAAAAGCTCTACACTTGGAAATTAAGTCCTAATTTTAAGTACTAGGTCTTCTCACTGCTATTTTTTGGTAACCCTACACAAATTAAACTTCCTTTTTGTTTTTTAAAGAAATTTTTAAAGATGAAAGAGTAATTTAACAAATGCCCATGTACCTAACACCCAGAACTTAACATTTCCCATGTTTGCTTTAACACTTACTTTAAAAACAAGTAAAAAAGCAGTATTCCATTCAAGTTCCCGTTATCTTTTCCAGAGTCTACCACTATATAAATTTAAAATATATTCCTCTGGGATGTTTTTAAATATATTCATATGCATACATGCACATTCACGAAAAAATATATGGTTTTGATATATGTGCTTCTGTCTTCACATAAATCATATCACATAAACATAAATTCACAATTTACTTTCTTCACTCTTCATTCGGTTTTCAAGAATTTAACTTATATTGATCCAATACATTACTTTTAATTGCTGCAGAATTTCCATTACAATATCATACCAGTTTTTTAGTCTCCTCCCTTACTGACAGACATTTGTTTCCAATTCTTCACACTTATGAGTTAGAACAGGCTGCCAAATTACTCTAAGAATGACTATATCAATTGACCTTCCCCTGGAATTACCATTTCTCCTCAAACTTGAAAACATGGGATATGATCAGGTATTTTAATTTTTGATAATCTGATATTTGATAAAGGAAATCCCACTATTGTTCTGAGGATACATTTTCCATTATTTTGATTTGCATTTCCAGATTACATAATGCCAACCATCTTCCCTTATGCTCCATATCATTTGAGTTTCCCTTTCTGCAAACTGTTTCTGTCATTTTTTTAACTAATTATTTTATGTATTATAGCATTCTTTTCTTTTACAGTCTGCGCTTTTTATATCTTATTTAGGAAATATTTCCCTAATCTTCGAAGTCTTAATGATTTTACTCCTCACTGAGCCTTCTATTCTGTAAAATGAGGGTAATAAACCTATCCTATTTACTCCCAAAGTTGTGAGCTAAGATTTTTAAATGTATGCTAATGTTTTCTAAACTATATTATAAATATAAGGAATTATTACAGCACAGGCAACAGTTAAGAGCCTATTTTGGATATCTCTGCCACCTACTAACTTTTTTTTTTTTTTTTTGAGACGGAGCCTCAAGCTATCCCCCCGGGTAGAGTGCCGTGGCATCACGCTCACAGCAACCTCCAACTCCTGGGCTCAAGCGAGTCTCCTGCCTCAGCCTCCCCAGTAGCTGGGACTACAGGCGCCCGCCACAGTGCCTGGCCATTTTTTTTTGGTTGCAGCCATCACTGTTGTAAGTACTTAAATCTCACTTTCCTACAGTATAAAATAGAGATAACAATTGTTTGAGGCCATAGCGGTTCACACCTATGATTCTAGTACTCTAGGAGGCACGGTGGGAGGACTGCTTAAGGCTGGGAGTTTAAGCCCAGCCTGAGCAAGAACAAGACTGTGTCTACAAAAACTAGAAAAATTAACTGGGCATAATGGTGTACGCCTGTAGTCCCAAATACTATACTAAGGAGGCTGAGGCAGGAAGATCACTTGAGCCCAAGAGTTTAAGGTTGCAGTGAACCCCACTGATTATCCTACTACACTCTAGCCAGGGCAATGGAGTACACATAAGATCCTGTCTCCAAAAAACAAACAAAACAAAAAAAATCCACAAAAGTTGTTTTCATTACTCTCAATGATTATATAGATTGAATACAAAGATGTATGACACTAGAAACAATGATTAAGAACTCATTACTACTCTCATTATAAATAATTATTTGCTAAAACATACTATTATCAAGGATTAAAAATGATATACTTTTAAAACCTTTTTTCAGAGAGTTTTGGCTAAGTGAAAACATTCTGAGTTAAAATATTCTGTTACGGTAAGTTGGTTTTATTCATACAAAAATTCTTCTTTAGTATCCTGTGAAAAGTATGTATTTCTTATTTTTCCAAATAACAAATTTATTATATTAAATTGTTATAATAGTAAATATATTATTTATTATTATTTGTTATTATAACTCCATAAGTTTGCTTCCACTAAAAGTTTCCCAAATGTGATATAAATTCTATTAACGATTTCTCATATGTGTGTTAAGGAATAGTCTACCTTTGTTGAAAACAAATGTGATTACATATGACTCAAAACTTGGATAGGAAACACAAGTAAAATGAAGACACTTGTAACAATAGTACCTACATATCAAAAAAAACATAAATACATTCTATTTTATATATATACATATATACATACATATCATATATACATATATCTCATGTATCATATATATCATATATACATACACAATAGAGTGTAATATTATATACACACACTCTATTATGTATGTATATGTATATATAAGTATACATTATATATACACATATACGCACTCTATTTTTATATCCTGATATCATGTCCTGGACTCTCTGGGACTTGAATCTTCAAACTATACCAAAATAATGTAGCTTACAGTTTTCACTGAATGGGCAAAATGTGTCACCAAAGGAGCACAGTCTGACAGAAGAAACAGACACATGCAATAAACAAATACAATAAATTACAGTATAAGCACTATAATAAGGCTATTACAAAAATTTGTAAAAATTCCTTAGGCAAAGAGGGTATAAGAAGATAGGTTTTAGAGGTAGTGATTAAGTAAGTTAAGGAAAGTAGGGATTCATCAAAGTCAGAAGGGAAGACAAGAAAAAAACAATCTGAGTTTTTCAAAGGACAAACACAGGAGAAAGCACAAAAAACACATAAAGTCTCAGTCTACCTCACCAAGCAAGGCACAGAAGAATCCATTTCCATCCCTAGTCCCACAAATTTATTTGGACACAGTTTCTATGTCTCTGTCCTAGCTCTGCTTTCTCTATTCTCTGCTATTGAAGGGAACTCATCCTTATCCCCAAGCAGAAGAAAAAGAAAGAAAAAAGTCAAAAGAACAAAGGAACTTTTCATGAGTTCTTGTCCTCTAGAAGAAATGAGGCTGTATACAAAGACTTTCTACAGCTATAACTAAAACAAACCTTTTTTCTCCACATTAGATCTTAAGCTCAGCCTGTCCAAGCAAAATCAGCAATGAACTAACCCAGGCACCAAACAGCTCTATGGTAACTATCTATTAGGAAAAAATTCTATTCTAAGCTCTTGAATTTACATGTAAATTTTAGAATTATCTTGTGCATTTTCACATACACATACACAAAAAAAAAAACCTGTAAAGATTGGAGTATACAATCTTCTGAAACTACAGAATAATTTGGTGGAAATCAACATTTTAATAAGAGTTGAGATTTTCAATCCACAAACAGGATACAGAAAGGTCTGAAATTAAGTTTATGAACTTGCCAGTGTACAGTTGGTAGCACTGTACAAACAACTCAGTAAGGTTTCATAACCTTGTTATACACGGGTATAAACATTTCACAAATGTGTTTGTGTTAACATGTGGTGGGCTCTTCTTGCTGAGTGGTGTCCACTACTGCTGCATGTTTTTTTGTGCCATTGTGAGAATGTTAGAGCTTGCATTAGAGCAATGAACAAATATTAAATTTATTGTTCAATCTGGCAGAAACAGAAGTGAAATCAGGGACATGTTAGTCCAAGTTTATGAGGATAATGCTAAGAGGAAAATAGCAGTGTACAAATGGATTAAATGTTTTTCTGAGGGGAGAAATGTCACTGATGAAGAGAGGTCAAGGAGGCTACTAACGAGCAGAACAAAAACATTGCAAGCATCTGTCAAATTGCATGGCAAAACTGTCAGCTGTCTATGAGGAGCATAGCAGACCAAGTAAACACTGATAAAGAAAGAGCTAGAAAAATCTTAACTGAAACACTTAGCATGAGAAAGGTGTGGCTCTTGCATCACGACAATGCACCAGCTCACATGACACTGTCTGTGAGGGGGTTTTTCGCCAGTGAACAAATAACTGTATTGGAACACCTTCCCTATTCACCTGATCTGGCCCCCAATGACTTTTGTCTTTACCAGAAGATACAGGAAATATTGAAAAGAAGACATTTTGATGACATTCAGGACATTGAGGGGAATATGATAACAGTTTTGATGGCCATTCCAGAAAAAGAGTTCCAAAAGTGCTTTGAAGGGTGGAGTAGGCACTGGCAACAGTGCATAGTTTCCAATGTGAACTTAATTGTTAGACCTTGTACAGTCAATTCTCATTATTAAGATGTCAACTGAGCTCAGTGGCT